TTAAAAAAAAAAAAAAAAAAAAAAAAGGAACACACCCAAATCACCACCACCCTAACAGTTACACAGTGGCAGGTGATAGACCTGGATGCCAAGACCTGGAAACCCAGAACAGTGCACCCCAACATGGAGGACAGGGCCAGCTCTAATGAGATAAACCCCAATTCTGTCCTTTCCTTATCAAACAACCTCACATTATCACTTTTTTGTCCAACCAGAAACAGCAAAAAATGAAATGGATATGCCAGAGAAAACTGTTTTTTCAAAAGGGGGAGTGAACCATTCTCTTGCATTAAAAAACAAACAAAACAGCCTTGGCAGGGTGGGCTCGGCTGGTTGGATGTTGTCCCAAACACCAAAAGGTTGTGGGTTCAATTCCCAGCAGGGGGAAGTGCAGGAGGCTACCCATCAATGTTTCTCTCTCACATCAATATTTTTCTCTGCCTTCCTCTCTCTAAAAATCAATGAAACAATAACAACAAACAAAACAAATAAACAATAACAACAAAAAGAGCAAACTGTAATATAAAGGCTGAAGGACACAGAAAAATAAAGGACATTTGGCTTAACTTAGCAATGTCAAGAGCTTAGAAAATAAGAATAAGCACATCTACTAACTCGGCTACACTTCCAGGACACCCTAGAGTGTCAAAGTGATGCTAGCAACTCTGTGCTCCTCACAAACAAATGTCCATTTTAATCAAATCCTTGCAAGCAGCAGAACTGCTTAGAAACTGCAGAGACAGGAGAGCAGCATTTTAGCTGGCTAATAAGACTGCATTCTAAGGTCTAACAGGGATACAGAAAACCTAGGAAAATTATCTGCTTTGGTCAGCAAGGAGGAAGGCGCATCAGTCCCTGGGGCATATTAAAATTAACCAGTTTAATTAAAATTAAAAGGGATCTGACAATCTGATCAAAAAGACCCAAGGATTTTAACCATTTAGAAAGAACTTGTAGAATTTCTGACAGGGTATCAAAAACACTTAAGTATTCTTCAATTCAATTTGAATTTTTACCAAATAATAATTACAGGATTACATCTATATTGAGAAACCTGCTGAACAACCACAGTAGATTATAAGCAAGTGGTTGCATCAGAAAAATACTATTTGAAACTCTTAACTTTGTAACCTAGAGAACCAGGGGGAGGCGAGACACACAGAGAAGTAGGGCCAAAAAAATCAAATAACACAGTCTCTTAAAATGGCGGCTTGATGTGTATATATTCAATACTAAAAATATGTGTGGAAGAAACAATCACTCGGGGACGTATATGTGTATACCTGCAACACATATTTGTTCAAAGAAAATAGATATTGAGTACCAACTGAGCCCCAGGCAACCCTAGGTACTAGGAACACAGTGATGCGCACAGCAGGCAAAATCTCATGACACCTGAAATGGGGACTGCTTATTCCTATTAGCCAGTTAACTTCTGCAGTAAAGCATTATGAAGAAAAAAGCAGTGCAATGAGAAAGAACAAAACAGAAGATTATAAACACGGGAAATTTTAAAAACTGTTCCATCCATGTTGTAATTTTAATGAACTATATTATATTTTAAATATGCCACAAGAATTAAAAACTTTTAAAAGTACACAGCGAGGCAGGCATGGCTCAGTGGTTAGAGCGTCGGCCTGTGCACTGGAGGGTCTCGGATTTGATTCCTGGTCAAAGGCACTTACCTGGGTTGCAGGTTCATCCCTGCCCCCCAAAAATCAAAGGAAAAAACGACTTCATTCCTTGGGTGAGGAGAAAAAAAAAGTATATATAGCAGTCATGTAAGGTTAACAGCCACCCTCTAAAGTTTTCTATTTTCTAAACCTAACTTGGAAACAAAGTTTATTTGTATTCAAAGGGATTCTCTTGGCAAAATGGTGACTGGGAAGAGTTAATTCCCAATGATTTTTATTTTATTTATTTAAATATATCTTTATTGATTTCAGAGAGAGGAAGGGAGAGGGAGAGAGAGAGAGACAGAAACATCAATGATGAGAGTCATTGATCGGCTGCCTCCTGCACACCCCCGACTAGGGATCGATCCCGCAACCCGGGCATGTGCCCTGACCAGGAATCCAACCCCAGTCACCTGGATCCTAGGTTGACGCTCAACCGCTGAGCCACGCCCAGCCAGGCCCAATGATTTTTAAAGAACAATTTAAGACAACTGAAAAATACCTTTATTAGGTATTTTTCAAGGCCAATTTCAAAATAACTTTATTAAAATTAAGTGTTAAATAGTTACTAAGCACCTAAAATTTGTGCCCCAATCTTTTCTTAGCATCTCCCTTCCCCCTAAGTACACATCAAACATCTAAATTCTTTCTAAGAAATTCAATACAGCCTCTGCAAAGATATAGATGTAGGTAAGCTACCAAAAATGGAAATTTGAACATTCTTACAATCATCAATTTCATTGTTACAAGGTACTTACCAATCTCCTATTTATTATGTTAAGTCCATGGCCATCGCATCCATATAAAGTAACTTATAATCTTCAACAAAGCTTTGTGATAACTTCCTCTAAGGCATCTTAATGATCTTTTTAAATATATATAGTTTATTCATTATGAACGAAGATTCTGATTCAGTGGGTGTCTTGCTACCCAGAAATATTTAATGAGCATCCCAAGTGTTTTGTTGCAGGTGGTTCCATCTAACACAGTAGAAACAACCTAATGGAATAAGCAGTCTTAAACTACTGTCAAGAACTACTCTCAAACATATATTTAGACATATGGTCCTGTGAACATATGCTTAAGCATTTTCCTTTGGCTTGTTTAAATGAGGACCCAGTTTAGCAATACTTACAGTTAACATTGGAGTTGTCAATAGGCCCCAAGCAAAGAATTCAAGGAAGATTACAATAGCAGCATGGTACACACTTGGTCGGCCAAAACCTTGTAGCTAAAAAAGGAAGAAAGTTATTGTGAAAAAGAGTAAAATTTTTAAAATCCATTATCCTAAAATGGTCAGTAGGTCAGTCGGTCTGTCTCTCTCACACACACACAGTATAAATTTAGAACCTATCTTTAATGTTTAAGATAAAACTTCATTCTGCAATATCCCTGATTCTTTCATCTTCCGTAATTATAAAAGGTATCAAGATTATAGACATTCTACTAATCCCACCAATACAAATCACTGGAGCATTGGTACAAAACCAACGGAGACTTCAAGAGACTGAGGTTCTAGGGCCTGACTATTCTGTCTCTTACTAAGTATGTTTTTCAGCATCCTGGCCTAAGTCTGAAGTTTCCCTAGCTAAATAAGGAAAGTAGGCATTGGAGTCATATACTCAAAAACTTTAGGGAAGTGCAGATGACTTAAATTAAGTGATGGGAGAAGAAACATACTCAATTCCCAAAAGTGTTAGAATCCAATTTTCTGTCTGTTTTAAGACTGTGTCTACTCTGCTAGTTGTCTGCAGTTTGTGACTTCTGGAGATGAAATCTAAAATTCCTTTTAATTTAATGTTCTCTGACACTGTGACAATGCCTATTACATGATCAGGTGCTTTGCTAGCACTTAGAAACGAACTTACAAAAGACTCTGTAAAACCCACACCATTCCTATGTTTATATTTTCAAGTCTTCAAAAGGTAAAATTACACCTGCATGATTATTTAACTAGCATCTAATCATGAGAAAAGATCAGACAAATCCAGGCTGTGGGACATTCGACAAGACAACTGGCCTGTTCTCCTTAAAATATCTCAATGTTATAAAAGACAAAAGTAAATGTAGAAAGACAAGAGTCCTAATAACCAAACCAATGTCTTTTTTCTGGTCTTTTAAACACAAAACCCAGAACATAGAAAAAAACTGAAACAAATGGACCAGTTTCTTCAACAAAGAAACGGTATAAAGAAGAAAAAGGAAGGAAAACTATGTTAGTATATAGATTAAAAGAAATTTTAAAAATATGTGGACTTTCGGTTTTGACTCAAATAAACAACAACAACAAAAAGATAATTTTGAGTCAATCATGGAAATCTGAAAACGCACTGGGTATCAGATGATAACAAAAGCAGGAGAAGGGGAGCACAAAAAATAAATTCTTTTTAATCCCCATATGAGGATATTTTTCCCATTGCTTTTCAGAAAGAGTGGAAGGCAGGGAGCAGGGGAAGGGGGTTGGGGGGGGAAGAAACATCAATTGGTTGCTTCCCACACTCACCCCAACCAGGGCCGGGGATCAAGCCTGCAACCGAGGTACGTGCCCTTGGCCAGAATCAAATCCAGGACCCTTTAGTCCGCAGGCTGATGCTGTAACCACTGAGCAAAATAGGCCAGGGCAAAAAAAAAATTTAAAAAAGTAAATAGCCTATAGGCTTTTACTGGTAATTTCATAATTATTTCGTTGAAAATTCTGATAGTCCCTCATTCTATATCACAAAGCAACTGCTTCCAAACAGTCAATAAATAGCCTATTCCTCTTGAATCATTTGTTTTATTTATCAAATATCATGCATACAAGAATCTCAAAGAACTCTGAAAAACAGCTACAAGTAGGAAGCACAGGAACACTACCCTATTTTTCAAGTGCAGTTTCTGTGGTTTGGTGCACTTTCCCAGGCAATGAAGCTTTATTTATCGAGATCATTGTGGTTGCAATACTGATTAAATGTTAAAAAAAATACATACTTTATTCTGTGTGCATATATCTTTATGCTATTATTTTTAAAACCTTGCAAAAACCAGACCACCCACCTTTTTGTTCCCACATTATATTTTTCTTAGGTAAAAATTTTAAAAATCTCTTCTAAAATGCAAATATTACATTATTACTGTCCTTGTTACATAAATTACTTTTAACTGAACTATCATGCATCTCTAGGCAATAACAGTGATATCTGAGAAAAATGCAACAGGTAGGCCTTGGTATGGTGGGAACTCTGTGTGGGCAATCGGACATAAGGTAACGGAAGTCAATCTTCCTTACTTCCAATTATTTCTAAGTTCTTAGTGGTCAGTATGCTGAGGAAAAAAAGGGTAATAGGTTTCTCCTTTAAATTATCTGAGCTAATTAAGAAGGCTTTATAAAAACTTAACCAATTATTGCCCTGGCTGGGTGTGGCTCAGCTGGTTAGAGCATCATCCCATACACCGAAGGAGTGCGGGTTCAATCCCTGGTCAGGGCACATACCTCGGTTGCAGGACCAGTCCCCAGTTAGGGTGCATACAAGAGGCAACCACTCAATGTTTCTCTTTCACATTGATGTTTCTCTCTCTCAAAAAAATAAAAATAAAATCAACAAACATATATTCAGGTGAGGATTAAAAACATTTCCAGTTGAGCCTGACCTAGTACAGCCTCTCAGCTCCGCGTCTCCCCTCTCCATTTTGTTGCCCTTTTATAGACCAGTACAGAACATCCTGAGCAGACGATGAAGCGTCTTCACACTCACATTACCATCTCCCAGATGACTACCATGGCCTCTGAATCCTGCCCTGACTCCTCTTCCCTGCCCATTTCCAAATCTTTCTTGACACTACACAGAGTGATCATTCCGAAATACAAATGCCATCCCATCACTCCTGCACTAGGCTGCAAAAAACAGCCCACAAATTCCTCCTATTCTTGTACATACATTTTCACGTCACTGTGCTGCCGATTCCATCAATAGGCAGAATCCACTTCTGTACTTTCCAGGGTTGGGGCTGGCTTAACCAACAGATGCCAGGTGAAGTGACAACATGAACTTCTGAACTTAGACTTCAGAGGCCTTCAAGGCCCAGTGGGGAAATCCCCTAGAGGCACAGGAGGATGAGAGCATTTGAAGCCCTCCCAACTGATGCTCCTTAGACCAATCACAAAACAGCCATCATCAATGCCTGGCACAGGAGAGCAAGGCCATCTTACATCACCCAACTCCAGTCAGCCTGCAGATGACTGCAGAAGCCTATTTGCAATCAAATCTAGGGAAGACCCTCCAGCTAATTGTGGCCCAAATGCTAACCCCCAAAACTGTCATGAATGGTTGTTGTTTTAAGTCACTAATTGTTGGGGTAGTTTCTCATGTAGCAATTATTAAATGATACAACCCTGTTCTGCATCAAATGATACAACCTCATGATTAGATTTAAACTTTAAAAAAATATATATCTTTATTGATTTCAGAAAGAGGAAAGGAGAGGGAGAGAGAGAGAAACATCAATAATGAGAGAGTCATTGATCGGCTGCCTCCTGCACGCCCCCGACTGGGGACCGAGCCCACAACCTGGGCATGTGCCCTGACCGGGAATCGAACCCAGATCTCCTGGATCCTAGGTTGCTGCTCAACTGCTGAGCCACGCCCGGCCGGGCTAGGTTTAAACTCTTAAGACTGCTTTGAGTTCCTTTTGTAACTCTCCAGTTTCGTCCCTCAGTCCAAACATAACTCAATAAAATATTTGTGAGATTAAAGAATAATATTCATTCAGAAGCCATCTTTTGAGCTTTTATTTTAAAGATTTACTAGTTAGGTATTATAGACATTTGTGGTCAGAAAGGGCAACAAAAATTCCTGAAATATCACTTTTTAAAGAACAGACTAAAAAAAGAATAGTTCACAGTATTAGTGGGGGGAGATAGGAGAAACGGAGAGGGTGTTACCTGACTTAAAATATACGCAGGTGAAACATGTTACATCATGGATGAGCCTTGAGAACATTATGCTAAGTGACATAGGCCAGTCCCCAAAAGACAAATATTGCATTATTCCACTTATGTGAAATATCTAGAGGAGTCAAACACATAGAAACAAAAGTAGAATGGTGGTTGTCAAGGGATGGGGGGAGGGGGAAACAGGAAATTGTTGTTTGATGGGTCTAGAATTTGTTTTGCAAGATGAAGTTCTAGAGGTTGGCTGCACAACAATGTAAATATACTTAGCACTACTGAACTCACATTTAAAAACAGTTAAGATGGTTAATTTTATATTATGTATATTTTACCAAAATTAAAGAAAAAAATGTACGTATTTCCATATACAGTAGTCCCTCAGTATCTATGGGGGATTAGTTCCAGGACAACCCCCACCACCCTCCCATGCCACCCAGATACCAAAACCCACAGATGCTCAAGTGCATTATATAAAACGGCATATTTGCATATAACTTATCCTAGGTTGGCTGAGCCCACAGAAGCAGAACCCACAGGTACTGAGGGCTGACTCTATGCATGTGGAACATCCAAATCACAAGAGCATCCTCCTCCTTCAGAAAAAAGATTTTCAAAAGCAGTTGACACTGAAGGAAAGGAAAGGAAGCCTGTGTAATTGAAGATGACAAGACATCCATATGGAGGATTAAGACCCACTTCTTCCAAATACAAACCCCAAATAAAGCCAAGAGCAGCTGCAGGTCTAGACTTGTCTTTGAGCTGCCTCTCACACATAGGGTGCTCAAGGGTGCTAAATGCAGGGATATTTTAATTAGTGACAATTTTCCTACTATATTAGAAGTTAGTTTTTGGGTGAGTAAAAGGCATGGTCTCTTTGCCTGAGAAGAAAAACAACTTCTAGACTCAGCTCTGTTAACTAAAATTACTGTGATTCTCTCCTAAGGAGAGAGGTGACAAAGTTTAACATCACTATGGCTACAAAGAAGTTTGTAATCAGTCATTAAAACAAGGCACTGTGCAAAACTGCTACACTCTGGGATTTCATTCAAAGTAGGACACAGCAACCAATGAATCACTGCACAAATATTCCTAAAAACTCATGGAAGACAAGCAAACAAACCACTTACGAAGGACAATATTAAGGGAACTACATACTTGGACATAGCATTTCTCTTCCACCTAATATTTTATAAAACAGTAAAGACAAATGAGTGTATTGTGTTTTTGCATTCTTTTTTAATGAAATACATATGCCTTAAAAAATTACAACTGTGCCTGGCTGGCATGGCACAGCCGTTAAGTATCAACCTATATGATCCAGGAGATCGAGGTTCGATTCCGAGTTTCGGGTTTTGGGCTCAATCCCCAGCAGGGGGCGGGCAGGAGGCAGCCAATCAATGACTCTCATCATTGATGTCTCTGTCCCTTCCTCTCTCTGAAATCAATAAAGACATATTTAAAAAAAATAAAACTGTTCCACAAATATATGTTGTAAAACTTTAAAGGGAATAAGTATGTTCTATTCTCCATAGGTAATGACAATGCTAGAAATTTGTTACATATTTTTATGAATGGACATTAATAGGTAAAAATATACTTTTATATTAATGGTAACAGAACATGCACACTACCTTTTTTACTTTAATCTATCTCTTTCTATGTCACAGTACATATGCAAATCCTACAGAAAAGTAAAAAACCAGTGCAGAGTTCCTGNATCACTGATGTCTCTGTCCCTTCCTCTCTCTGAAATCAATAAAGACATATTTAAAAAAAATAAAACTGTTCCACAAATATATGTTGTAAAACTTTAAAGGGAATAAGTATGTTCTATTCTCCATAGGTAATGACAATGCTAGAAATTTGTTACATATTTTTATGAATGGACATTAATAGGTAAAAATATACTTTTATATTAATGGTAACAGAACATGCACACTACCTTTTTTACTTTAATCTATCTCTTTCTATGTCACAGTACATATGCAAATCCTACAGAAAAGTAAAAAACCAGTGCAGAGTTCCTGTTTACACTTTACCCAGCTTCCCCAAACTTTATCACCTTACATAACTATGGTACAATGTTTCAAACCTAGAAATTAACATTGCTACACACTACACTACTTTAGCTAATTTACATAATATTTGAATTTCACCATTTTTCTCACTACTTTTTTCTAGTTCAGAATCTAATCCATTTCATATTGTATTTAGTTCTGTTTCCTTGGGTTCTGATCTGAAATAGTTCCCAAAAC